AAAAATTCTCTTTTTATCATTTACCTACTCGAGGATGGGCAGGAATTAAGCTTGGGGATGCCTGATACGTTTCCAACGTATCTATAATTTTTGATTGCTCCATGCTATATTATCTACTGTTTTGGACTATATTGGGCTTTATTTTCCACTTTTATATTATTTTTGGGACTAACCTATTAACTGGAGGCCCATCCCAGAATTGTAGTTTTTTTGCCTATTTCAGTGTTTCGAAGAAACGGAATATCAAACGGAGTCCAAACGGAATGAAACCTTCGGGAACGTGATTTTCTCACCAAACGTCATCCAGGAGACTTGGACCCTATGCCAAGGCATCAGAGAGGCGGTCACGAGGGTGGGGTCCGCCGGAGAGGGCCGTCATCACGGAGGGCTTCTACATCATCATAGCCTCTCCGATGAAGTGTGAGTAGTTTACCTCAGACCTTCGGGTCCATAGTTAGTAGCTAGATGGCTTATTCTCTCTTTTTGGATCTCAATACAAAGTTCTCCCCCTCTCTTGTGGAGATCTATTCGATGTAATCTTCTTTTTGCGGTGTGTTTGTTGAGACCGATGAATTGTGGGTTTATGATCAAGTCTATCTATGAATAATATTTGAATCTTCTCTGAATTCTTTTATGTATGATTGGTTATCTTTGCAAGTCTCTTCGAATTATCCGTTTGGTTTGGCCAACTAGATTGGTAGTTCTTGCCATGGGAGAAGTTCTTAGCTTTGGGTTCGATCTTGCGGTGTCCTTTCCCAGTGACAGAAGGGGCAGCAAGGCACGTATTGCATCATTGCCATCGAGGATAACAAGATGGGGTTTATTTCATATTGCATGAATTTATCTCTCTACATCATGTCATCTTGCTTAAGGCGTTACTCTGTTTTTAACTTAATACTCTAGATGCATGCTGGATAGCGATCGATGAGTGGAGTAATAGTAGTAGATGCAGAATCATTTCGGTCTACTTGTCACGGACGTGAAGCCTATATACATGATCATGCCTAGATATTCTCATAACTATGCTCAATTCTGTCAATTGCTCAATAGTAATTTGTTCACCCACCGTAGAATACTTATGCTCTTGAGAGAAGCCACTAGTGAAACCTATGGCCCCCGGGTCTATTCTCATCATATTAATCTCCATCAGTTTAATCTTGCTTTGCTTTTTACTTTGCTTTTACTTTTTAATTTGCATCTCTACACCAAAAATATCAAAAATACCAAAAATATTATATCTATCAGATCTCACTCTCGTAAGTGACCGTGAAGGGATTGACAACCCCTAATCGCGTTGGTTGTGAGTAGCTATCGTTTTGTGCAGGTACGAGGGACTTGAGCGTGGCCTCCTACTAGATCGATACCTTGGTTCTCAAAAACTAAGGGAAATACTTACGCTACTCTGCTGCATCATCCCTTCCTCTTCGGGGAAAAGCAACGCAAGCTCAAGACGTAGCAATGATAACCCATGTACGGTAGGTTATCATGGTGCTCCCTGAGCAGTAAGCCGATTTGTCCCGAATTGAGATGATGTGGCATGCTATGCATCCGATATGCGATAAGACTAGGGCACCTTTTTTTCTAACACCACCCCGGATACGACAGTTCTCTTCGGCCCTCCATCGCTGACATATGGGACCTAACGAGATGTGCGCACTAAAGAAATTGACCCGTCAACTGCAAGCGCTGCCTTATCCACAGACGAGCTCGCATGGGCCACATGTGATGGGTCATGCATGATCAAGAAAAGTGGGGGAGCTTTGCGGGAGTCTGCAGATGCACTTTACTAATAAAAACCCTTAGTCTAGCCTCCTCTCATTTCTCTCTCCTCACATGCATGGTCCCCCTCTTCTCTCTCTCCTCCAACCGGACACCAGAGCATAATATCCCACCACATGCATGGCCCCCCTCTATGATGAGTTCAGTTTATGTGATAATTATGTTAATAATTTTCTACCTGCATGATAGGCTTTGTGGAATTTTACCCTGTTCGCGCACTACTTTTTTTCGTTATTCCTCAGGAAACGCCTTTTGAAACAAATAAGTTCTTTTGGAAGAAATCCCAGGAATTATGGTGGAATCATGTTATTCAATGTGATAATCAACTACCATAAAATAATAAAGCAAATGGGGTGAAGGAGGAGCGTCTGCGGCAGCTCTAGAGCCAAAGATGGCCTACCATACGAGTGTGCCCGCTCGTATGGGATGTCGTATGATGTGCCAGGGGAGCCGCCTCGTCCACTATTTCCACCCATGGAATCGGATCAGAGATCGAACACACAAAGACACTAGAAACTTGTCCAGAAGGCAAAACCCTAGCCTTCGGAGATCATCCGAAGGAGGAATTGGCAAGGAGGAGATCGTTATCTTCATCACCAACTACAAGGGGGCTACAACATCATCTCCACCATCATCATCATCATCATCATCTCTGTTGTCATCATCATCATCATCCACATCCATCTCATTGTAACATACCTAGTGGATCTACTTGTGTGTTACATGTGTAATCCATTCATGTTTACCATCCACACCTTTATGATGCTTGTTGCCTCCATGTGTGAGTAGTTTCCCTTGTTCTCGGGGATATGGATGAATCCTGGTGTGTAATAGACCGATTGGTATTAGGATTTAATATTGTCTTTGCATGTTTATGTTAACAGTCTTCTTGACGTTGAGTGGAGTTGACCATCCAACATATGCCAACTTTGGACGGAAGGTTATTACTGCTGGCGAACCGGCTGGTTGAAAAGGTAGGTATGTGACAGGGACTATTTCCCTTCTTTCCGTATCGTTGCAGCAGAAGGCCATTTATAGGATGCGTCCATGGGACATTTTTCCCATTAATCACATTTTGGTAACCGGAGTGGGGAATAACGATGGTGGCGTATGTGAAACGGGTCTGTCGTGTGTATGCATGTATCTGTACCGGCTCTACCCACAAATAAAATATGCAAAGTGGCTTAGGAATCCGACGTAACATTGTGTTTAGGCACCGCTATAGATGCACGCTAATGGGGAATCCAGACTCCCCGAGAACCCTTTAGTATTGTTGATTTCATCACCGTTGATTACAACCCTTGTTATTAAATTTAGTTTCAGTAATTTACTTTTATGCTCACTACACCATTTCCACCATGTCACTACTACTTTGGATTTCTCTCAACTTGCAGGCATATCTATTTAAACCCTTGAAGAGACAAAAAAATTGATTCATGTGCTCCATATGCGATCGATAATCTTACTCGAAAAAGCTACAACGAAACCCCGCGCACTTGCAAGACATTACTCTACTCTCTCTTCCCCCAACCATATTGATTTGTAAATAGCATTGGATGGCCGGCTCCCACATCACGTCCGAGGACTACGTTCGGACATAAAAATGAACATATGCGGTGCCATTTGTGGGTCCACAATGGAGATGCCCTTAGTAGCTTAGTAGATATATCATTGTTACTCATGTCCTTCTGTGCGAAGTACGTGAACTGTAGATTAAATCATTGTTTGCACTTACATTTGAGGTTATGTCTATTTTGCAGTAAGCAATTGTTAGTTTGTTGGATAAACTTCATGTGAAGGATTTTTTTCACAATATTAGAATTTATTAGTCGTTCCTATCTAGTTTTAATTGCTGCCATGTCCAATATGTATCAGATTTAACTGATAGTGCCTATATTTGGATGGTCTCGACTTCCACCTAAGTATGGCAGCATTTCTATATTTGAATTGTGCCTCTAGAAACAAGACGTCCATAGGATTAGGATTCAAAACAGTAGAAGAAATTTTCTCTGCTGTATGACCATGCAGAGACACTCGATGTAGAGAAGTAGAACAGGAAGAATTGCCCCAAGGATCAAGAAGATATATTTGAAGTTTGTTTCATTCTTCTAGAACAAAATTTAGCCAGACAGAAGATTCGGGCTAGCGAGCGAATTTGCATTCCAAGTAAATATGTCATGTTGCTTTGGTATTTGTGAAATATCAAGGTCCCCAACAATGGTTTTATCTTGACCTCTGCTTTGCTTTGTAAAAGAATTCGGCATATTCATGCAAAAGTGTTCTTCTACTTGCGAGCTCAAATGCACCTGCGATGAACCGTAAAATAATACTCCCTCCGTCTCAAAATTTTTGTCTTAAATTTGTCTAAATACGGATGTATGAAGTCACGTTTTAGTATTAGATACATCAGTATCTAATAGAATATAAGACAAGAATTTTGGGACGGAGGGAGTAAAGAATAGTAAAAAGACAAATCTAATTATTTTGGTAACAAAAAGATAGATGAACTGTCTGCATATACACACTTATAAATTTCATGAAGAAAAAACATCTCTAGTGTTCTGGGAAAAAATGCTTTCAAAAACAGTTTTTTTCAATCATTGATTTTTTTTTGCTAGAGCATTTAAGATTGTTTTTCTCCATGAAATTTTGTAGTACAAATTTTGACAATTCTCTATTTTTATGGCAAACAAAGAAGTCATTGGTTTTTACTATTTTTTATTTTACTATTCATGGGACTGTTCACGCGGGAGCATTTGAGCTCACAAGCGGAAACCACATTCATGTATATATTCTTCTTCTTTTTAGCAGATGTATATATTCTACTCCCTCTGTAAACTAATATAAGAGCATTTAGGTAACTAAAATAGTGATCTAAATGCTCTTATATTAGTTTATGGAGGGAGTATATATTGTTAGTTTGTTATAGATGCCTTGCTTATATATGAGAAGTGCTTTCTATACAAAGCATTTGTAAAACACAATACACTGACACAGTCACTCAACAGAATTGAGCGAAAACCTCTTATGTTAATCCACACTGTCAAACAATCGCATAAGGAACAGCAATCATGCAGGCAAGCTTTGACACACACATGATATTCAGATAACAAAAACAATACAATTATGCAACAAAATGAAATCCTTCAGGGAAGGCAGAGCTGATTCTTCTTCTTCGCACTGACCAGACTAACATAAACATGCTGCTTACTTCACTCCCGTCACTACCGAATCAAGAACAACAGAAAAGAAACATGGTACTGCAGCGTCAGACGGCGATGGCGACAGACGCCGGAGGGTCGGCAGCCCAGACAATGTCCTGGAGGGCTGGCCGGAGCTCGTCACAGCAGAACGAGAGGTACTCGAGGGTGTCGCCGCCGTCCTTCTTGACGTCGACCACGAGCACCGAAGGAGCCACGCTGAATATCTCGGCGGCCACGGCGAGCCGGCCCTTGCGCCCGCCGCGTTCCGCGCCCTCCAGGCGCACGCCCCCCGGGCTGCTCTTGGTCACCCGCATCCGCCCGCCTCCACGCGCAGCGACCTCCTCGAGACGGGAGACCACGCCCCGTGCTGGCTCCCGCGTCGCGAACCGCATGCCGCCCTCCAGCCGCCGGCTTGCCGGGTGGCCCTCGAACAGTGGCGAGAGGTCGAATCCCTCGGAGAGGGATATCAGATGGAACGCGTTCAGCGCCTCGGGTTCGTCCTTGTCGCCGGCATCCTTCACGCATGCTGGCGGCTCAAGACTTAGGGGCTTGGCGATGGACGCCTTCTTGAACCACGGCGTCTCCACGAGCTGCGCGACGGTGATGCGGGTGTCGGGGTCGGGGTCGAGCAGTTTGGGAATGAGCCTGCGCGCATCCGTCGAGAACCACGGCGGGCATCGGTAGTCACCGCGCTGCGCCTTCTTGTACATGGTAACAACGTTGTCGTCCGGGAACGGGAGGGATCCGGCGAGGAGCACGTAGAGGATGACGCCGCAGGACCAGAGGTCGGCCTTTGCGCCGTCGTAGCCCTTGTCACGGAGCACCTCCGGCGCAGCATAGCCCGGCGTGCCGCAGAGGGTGTGGAGAAGCCCGTCGGCGCGGGCGTGGTCGGCGAGCGCGCTGAGGCCGAAATCGACGACCTTGAGGTTCCCCGCCTCGTCGAGGAGCAGGTTCTCCGGCTTGAGGTCGCGGTGGTAGACGCCGCGGGCATGGCAGAAGTCGACGGCGGAGATGAGCTGGCGGAAGTAGCGGCGCGCGACGTCCTCCGTGACGCGGCCGGAGCGCTCGATCCGCGAGAAGAGCTCCCCGCCGCGGACGAGCTCGAGGGCGAGGTAGATCTTGGAGCGCGTGGCCATGACCTCGTGGAGCTCGACGATGTTGGGGTGGGAGACCCGCTTCATGACGGCGATCTCCCGCTTGATCTGCTCCACCATGCCGGCGCGCACCACCTTGTCCTTGGCAACCACCTTGACCGCCACGGCCCGCCCGGTCCTCAGGTCCCGCGCGATGTGCACCCGCCCGAAGTTGCCGTGGCCGAGCACGCGGCCCATCTCGTAGCGCCCCTGCAGCACCCCGCCCTTCTTCCCCTCCGCCGAACCCGCCATTCCCGATCTCTCGATTCGCCCCCCTTCCCTCTCCCAAGAAATCGGTGTTGAAGACAATCTACCTGGCAATCGAACTGTAGGAGCAGAGATCCGGCCACTCTACCCGTCCTCGACGTGCTTCCGGTGGCAGGTGCGGCCGACGCGCAGCTTGCGCTGGACGGCGACGTCAGTGCCTGGTCGCCGCCTCATCGCTCTGCATTCCCGGCGAGACGGAGGGGACGGGGGAAGGGGACGAGAACGGGAGGCGATCGATGTGATCGGTGAGCGTGGTGTTGTGTGGTGGTGCCCTGTGATTAGTTTAGATTTGCGGCGAGCGGCTTATATTGGGAGGGAAGGGAGGGCATGGCGGCGGCCCGGGAGACCCTAGACCGCCCTGCCCCTAGGCGGCGCACCTACGCGATACAGCAGCGCCGTTGGATGCGGATCTCACGGTAGGGTGCGTAGGAGAGAGCAGTGGGACTGACAAACCAATGCTTCGGGCCGAAGGTTTTCGCATCCTGACGAAGAGCAATTCTACTATTCTGGCACGTTTCTGCCAAAAGAAGAAACCTTCGAAACTCGGTGGACATGTGTGTTTGCATATACACTCCAATAGATCTTAAATTCAACATAGATATATAAATAAAAAACAGAAATAATATGTACATGTCAAGTGCCACCACATGACAAATTGAACGTTTTCGTTAGCAATTTTATTGACCCGAGGATGCAAGTTAGTTGACACACAACAATTTTCCATCAAAAAATAAACTGAATCACGAAGTTGTCATGCTTACCAACTGAAATTGTCATCCTCACGACACTAAATTTATCATCGAAAACGTTCGATTTGCCTCGTACCAGACGTTCGAGTGTTATCAGATTCCATAAAAACACTATTCAACTTCATACACTAACCGCGGACACCATTCCTTGCCTCAAACGGTTCTTCTCCAATAGAGGCCGATGCTCCTCCATGCCGTCCTTACACATCTCATTGTCGTTCGTCTCTCACCACCTTCCTAATTTTTCTTAGTGCTTCTTCTCCGTCAAGTCCAACTTGTCTTGCGTTACTCACGTCACCAATTTCTTCTTTACTATCAGCTTATCAACCTTCTCTCTCATGTATGGAGCCTTCCCTTCTCTCTCGAGCATCTCCTTCGCCCCTTTCCTCCTATCAGGTCGTCCCTTGCTTGACCCCGGAGTAGGACTCCTGGGCCTCCTCTCATGTCATCGTCAACCTCCGTAGAGGACGAGGTACTTGGCCCTTTGGTTTTTTCGATGGTGCCTCATCATTCCTCGTCTTTCACTTCGTGTTGTTCTTGATCAGGCTCCAACAATGATGAAAGGCAAATATTCTTGTTGTTGGACTTGCCCATTTGCTTGTGCCGCTCCATAGCAATCCCATCCTACAACATGCAAATGGAAAACAACACAATTGCGACAATAGACAAACTGATCTTGATAAAGATGAAAAAACACTCGCCTGCTCATCAATGGTGACGACAAGATGCGTGCCTCGCTTGCCCCAAATACCCTGCCCATTGGTTGCAAGCTTTAAGAATGATGCTCCGATTTTGTGAGCAACTCGAGTAACCATTGGGATCGACCCTTCACGAATGTGTGCTAGCTTTCCTCGTTGTGTGTCCAATACCTTGCATCGGCTTGATCACTTAGTAAGGTTGGTAGAGTAATAAATTTTCACTCGGTGCATCTTCACTTTTTATAGAAATGACTCGCTACGTCAATGACGTAAATACCTGATTTGAACTAAATTTTATTTGCTTAGCAATGCGTTATGATCCAAAGACCCATGTTCTTGATTATTAAATATGATTTGTGAAATCGAAGGTCCATTTAGCCCTATTGACTTGGCATATAAAGCTTGGCTTGTTTCAAACGGACGACACTAGTTATTATTTTTTAGTCCTACCTTTGCAAACATGGACGACCGCCACGATGACTCGTTGCACAATTAACGCAAGTACCTTGTTTGTTTGAAATTTTGTAGGGTACTGACCCCTTGTTTCCAGTGAACGAAGGAAAAAAAAAATCAAATTCTAGTGCATTTTGAAACTTTGATATTCCATGTTAGAATAAAATTGAGGCATATACCGTCGATCATCCGAGGACCGAGCAATCACACAAGTACGATACCGAGATTTGTTAACGAGGTTCACCGATATAGCTACATCCCCGGGGCCTAAGTATGGGCACTCCTCCCCATAACACTGCTACAATACCGTACCCGATCGCCCTAGACGTCGGCACATGCCGCCGGCTTCCCCTGTGTTTCAGTGCTATTATGTTGGCATTGGTTACATCGTGTGTCTACCCCGCTATATATGAGAGGCCTAGGATACAAGTGTCCTATTAGGACACGACTCCATATTCTATCTAAACACAATACAACTCAGAGTCCAACTGTAACCTAACTTGTACACAATATTCGACACAACTCTAACAAACTCCACCTTGGCGAATATTCTTCATCATCTTGAATTCGGCAATGCATCAAACTTTCATGTACATTGGACTTGAGCTTATCCCATGAGAACAGATGCTACTCCAGAGACTCCATGTGACTCCACCTGCAACTTGTAGTCCCTCCTTTTCTTGAACACAGTCAACTCTCGAGCCAAATTAAGTTCCTTGTTACTCTAGTTTGTGCTCCCAACTTCTAGAATATCCGTCCAACGCCATCACACACTGATCACTGACCTGCGTGAAAGTGAGCAACCCACATATTGCGTGTCACACATAAGAGTTACCTGAACTCAACATCACCGCTCCTTTCTTGATCGCTTGTCTAAAACTTGAAGGAATTTCACCGTTGCTTGTAGTCATCACGAGTCAAATTTGCAGTTGTCTCACCACATGTATGACCACCAGAGCCCTGGCATGTCTCCATGTCTCATGCATACCGCACGCCTCGCCACTATTACCGCGTCGAGCCTCCGTTGTCCCGGTCGACTCTCAAGGGTCGCGAACCCACACCTCTCAACCCCCACAGCAGAGTACCACCGATCATCACCGACCGATGACGAGTTTCACGCTTCCATCAAACCACTGGGCTCCAGTCCGAACTACGTGTCCCTCGCTTTTCCCGTTGCTGAATAGGCTTCGATTCCCTGGATCCTTACACCGTAGCCCCTCAATCCAGCTCCATCTTCAAATTGACTCCATGGTAGACGATCAGTCCACCCTCGCGCCCCGTCGACTTCAAGCTCCGTGTGTAAATCACCTTGAATCAACCCCGCGCCATAGTCTTGTCGAAGCCACACAAGCCCTGGGGGCCTGCGCCATGTGTTTCCACGCCTAGAAGTCGGTCACCATCAACATCGTCATAGTCGATTTCACCCCCGTCTTCTGTACCAACCGACTTTGTGTCGATCCCGTCAGACTGTCTAGTCTGACCCAGCCGAACTTGTCCAGTTGCATGACACGCTCGAGGCTCCCAAACCATCTTTCACAAATTCTAATCCATCACATGATAATTCCATCTTAGCTGGCTTGACTTTCCGCAACGCCTTCAAGCATCCCTGTTGTGCCAATAAATCTTTCACCTTTGTCTGTCATAACACAAGGTTTTCAGTTCCGTGAACTTCTCCACCTCAAACCTGGTACCCATTGACGCCATGGTTCTTTGTACGGCTGACCTTGCGAAAAAAAGCTGAGCAGTCTTCCCGTGATCCCCAAGTGCACGAATGAAACTTCCACGTACTATTAGCAATTCCAACTAGTTGGTCTTCACATGAACTTTGCTCCTGTCTTGGCTCAACTTCCGATGCTAGCAATTGTCATCTCTACCAAAGCCTTCTGCTACTCGATGGATGCCCAATACAACGATGGATTTACTTCTTCCCGATTCGATCTGCCTCCTTCCGCGTTGCAATGAGAGGTCGTTGCCTCCAGGGACTCGGTCTCGATTTTTTCGAAAACAGAATTGCACGCTTCCACGATCTCCAGCGAACCAACACCCCGTTGCCTTTGCCTTCACGGCCTCCACTATTAGGCTGGCACCCTTGGATGGGCCTCCTGGCATGGGCCATCAGAAGTCAAAGATCCACAACACGTACGCGCACGGCAGCCTGACGCTCGCCCGATCCATCCACCTGATCGACCGCCGCACGTCTCGCCTGTACTCCGGCAGATGTTGCAACTCGCCGAGATCGCTTCCAGATTGCTCCGAACGTATTCGCCCACAAAAAATCCATGCAATCGCCGCCCTGCTTTGCTTCGCGTCACTGCTTCTACGGACGACGCACGACCGATCGATGAATTCATCGGTTTCTTCCTCTAGATCAACCTGTGCGACCTTCTCGTAACCTTGCTTATGATACCACTTGTTAGAATAAAATTGAGGCATACCGTTGATCATCCCAGGACCAAGCAATCACACAAGCGCGACACCGAGATTTGTTAACGAGGTTCACCGATATGGCTACATCCCCGGGGCCTGACTATGGGCGCTCCTTCTCATGACACCGCTATAATACCGCACCTGGTCGCCCTGGACGCCGGCACATGCCGCCGGCTTCCCCTGCGTTCCGGTGCTATTATGTTGGCATAGATAACTTCTACCTCTTGAGCATTGTGTTGGATTTCCCCGAAGAGGAGAGGATGATGCAGCAAAGTAGCGTAAGTATTTCCCTCAGTTTTTGAGAACCAAGGTATCAATCCAGTAGGAGGCTATGCTCGAGTCCCTTGTACCTACACAAAAACAATAGCTCAACGCAACCAACGCGCTTAGGGGTTGTCAATCCCTTCATGGTCACTTACGAAAGTGAGATCTGATGGAGATGATAAATAATATTTTTGGTATAGAGATGCAAAGTAAAAAGTAAAAGGCAAAGTAAAAGCAAAGCAATAATAAAGTGATGGAGATTAATATGATGAGAAAGAGACTCAGGGGCCATATGTTTCACTAGTGGCTTCTCTCAAGAGCATAAGTATTCTACGGTGGGTGAACAAATTACTGTTGAGCAATTGAAAGAATTGAGCATAGTTATGAGAATATC